AAAAAAGTATGCTAAAAGTCACACTTAAGATTTCTGGAGACAAACCTGTGTTTCTCGTCATTGTAGCAGTCGTTCCAGATCTTGATAAGAGTTTTCTTGCAAGCCCTACGTAATGTTTCCACCAAACGGCTGAACTGCCAAGACATCCAATTATTCTCCTCCACACTCTTGATCAAGTCGTTGATCACCTTTTTCACCTTCATGATTATGTGGCAAGAAAGGACCACAAAAGATCAGTCCCTCGAAAGTTTTTTATTTTTGTTTCTGTTTTTTAAAATGATGCAACAAAATTGAACTTTGATTAACCAATTAACCCCCCAAAAGTGACTAGCCTCAAATTTATCCTCACAATATCACCCCTGAATCACACATTAAGGTTAAGAGAATGAAGGAACTGATCACCCAGAAAAGAAGCTCTTAATTGGTAAAGAAATGTGTAGAGTAAGCATGGAGAATAAACAGACTGATGTCAAGGTGGAAAGGGCTAAAGATTTTAAAGAAATTCATTGGTACCAGTTATGTTCAGCTTCGTTTTCAACTCTGTTGTCAGAAAAGGTTTTGGTGATTGTGTATAGCTTCCGCAACAAGTCAACACGGTTGTGATGTCATACGTAGCGAACTACCGCTTAGAACGCGAATTTTTCTGGACCAATTACAGAGCGAAGAAAAGTAAAACCAATGATCTGATTGGTTGAAAATGTGGTGCGAGTTTTCCGACCAATCACAGAGCGAAGAAACTAAAGCCAATGATCTAATTGGTTGAGGAGGTGATGCGAGTCTCAGCACCAATCAAAGAGCGAAGTAAAGCAATTTTGGACAACTTTTGACAATCAAATTGAAAATATTTAAAAGAATTCTTGTACTGTCGGCTCAGCAAACTCTGGCAAAGCTAAAAACTAACCATGGTTGCAGTTTGATCGCGTTGTGCCTCATCTTCTGGTTTCTTCTCCCCGTCATCCAAAGTCATTTCCAATGTTCTAGCGGTGACGCCATTAACGTTATCTGAGCATTAAAAAATATGTAACTCAGTTTTCTTTTTTAAATTTCTAATAACTGTATTTGATCCAGTACTTACAAGTTTGTGATCCAAACTTCTCTTCCTTGAACTTCAGGTATTGCCTGCAGATAAAAATTATAGGCAAAAATGTGAAAAACTCTTTCTGAAAATTTTCAAAAGGTACAAATTAAATATAATCAGCTCTTCTTCTTCGTTCATGTTCTGTCCATTTATCAATTGATGACATTTAATTCAAGCGTCGCGAAGATCTGAAAATGCCTCTTCAATTTCATTAATGGCTTCGCATAGCTTTTTATAAGTTCGTGGGTAAATCTCGTCAGAGTTAACAACCCACCATTGATAATGAAGGGAACACATTTTTTTAGTATTCCTTTAATTTGAATAAGTTACGAATGGACGTCAGACTCCAGTGCCT